TTGACTTACTGATGCATAAACAGTATTGAACGATCTTGAGAGAAAGATTACCTGTCTGAACTTGAACAATTACACATCAGAAAGTGTTGCTTGGTAGCTCGATCCGAGGCCAGCTCTGTATTGGCCCAAGTTGAGGAAACACTCGGTGAAATGTTTGGAAATTTCCAGAGAAAATAAAATTAACCCATTGTTTCTTCAGAGGCTCAGATGAAGGAACTAAAAAATACTTTTGTATTCATGTGTACATCCACACTGAGCAACTGCCATGCTTCGGCTGCGCAGTTCCGCCTGGCATTGAGGGCTGGCATTATGCAAATATTTGGAGGCGTACATATTAATGATCCCGACTATTGCGTCACAGTCGGTATTGTGTGGAGAACCGACCGTTTTTCAGGGGTGTTTTTTATAAACGTGAATTAAATGAGAACGCGAAAACAGTCCAGTTTGAGATTCACTCTATGTCATGTCCATGCACTGAACTCTTGTTATTTGACTATACCAAGGTAAATTCAATTTTGAATTATAGGTCACCTTTAATCTACCTGGTTAAATAAACATTACATAAAAAGAGAGACAAAATAGGCAAAAATTAAAAATTACACTAACGTAATTTTCACGTTTAAGTTTCATCAAGTTAGTGTTTTTACACATTTAACATTTTTTCAAAATAATATCTAAAGGCAGTTACACAAAATAGTCTTTTCGAATCATCAGTCATCAAGTTCGTTAAACACTGGTCACAGACACGAAGATGTCTACCTTTAATTTCACCAAGCTGATTGCTCACTAAAAAACGTAGTCATCATGTTTTAAGGCCATTTCAAGTTTGATTTTGACATGACATTAAGCAGTGATATCTTAAATAGGTAAGTTAATTGTTTACTTACTTTTTACAGTCTTCCATCGCCATAATTTTGATCATACTTCATTCAGACTGATTCGAGAACGCGCATGAAACAAGAGGCGGGATTTATCGCACGAACGAATCATAACCAATCATAGCGCGATGGAGGCATTGACTCCACTCACGTGACTTTCCCCTGTCACCTGAGAAAAACGAGTGATTTATACACTTTTTAATGTCACACTTTGTAATACTTGTGTTGTTTTATTTTTGTAATATGGATTCTTTTCTCATCCACTTTTTTTTGAGGAGGCACTGCCTCCCTTGCCTCCTCGGAGGAAACGCCCTATATAATTGTATTTCTTTATTGTATTATTTATAACATTGTATTATTTTATAACAATTATTTAATGATATTTTTAAATTCTTGTAATTATAATAATATAATTAATAATCATTATACATTTTTTTTAATAATACTGATATTATATATATATATATATATATATATATATATATAATTTATAAAACATCTGATACAAGAACACTAAAAAATGCTGGGTTGTTTCAACCCAAATTTGGGTCAAATATGGACAAACCCAAATGTTAGGTTAAAAATGTAATAAAAATTTTTACAGTTGAAAGTGAAAGTTGAAGTTGGGTTAAAATTTGAAATTACATTTTTAACCCAACATTTGGGTTTGTCCATATTTGACCCAAATTTGGGTTAAAACAACCCAGCATCGTTTAGAGTGAATTTGACACGTACATGAAACATGACTCACGTCTCCTGTGTGATGATAGAACATCTGAGCAGAAATAGTTTCCTCAGGGCATGTTCAGAGAAATGTGTCAATAAAGACACATTATAATTTGTTGTGATTTGACATGTGGAATTGTGTCACGTTGACATGTTGCAGGTCGGTGGGGCTTGTTAACGTTTGTCGTGTTTGTGGTTGAGACAAACATTTGAGTGTTTTTGAGTGGAGTCATGTGTAGCTTTTGCCTTTCCTGTTGTGTTGGTGTTGTACTGTGATTACACTTTGGCTGACAACCTCATACATCCAGTAGACGTGTGGGCTACATGCCCAGTTCACTGTTTACATGATCTAGAGGGCCTGGCGATGGGCTTTTCGTATAATTTATATGTCCTTCTCCTCATTCTGATCTCAAGACAACATAAACTACATTTGTAAACTTTCTGAAGAAAATATGATCAATGTTTTTCAGTGCAAAACCGCAATGATGCTAGCATGTTCTCTGTGAATTTTAGCTATTGCCTGTTGCTATGATGTTGCTGGGATGTTCTGAGTGGTTACTGGCCTGTTTTGAGTGGTTGCTAGATAGTTGCGAAGGGGATTAGAGTGGTTTTTAGTGTGTATGAGAACATGTAGATATAAGAACAGCTAATAGAATGAATTCACTTTTGGAATAAAACATGCAAAATGTTGAGTATTTTGCAAATCTCCCAAATAAAACACAATTTGACCTCCTTTAAGGGCAACTAAACAGATCCGCAAACACAAATTCCTCGACTCCCTCTTTCCAGAAGTTTCTCAGTTCACGATCCCGCTCTCCAAAAGCCTGCTGGGCTTCCAGCCTCTGTCTGTCTGTGTTCCTCTCTAATTAGTCCTGTACCCCCACCAACCCTAACGACCACGCAGGCCTTTTCCAGGGCTCCTTCGTGTCCTCTAACTCAATTAACCCGAAGGCAAGACCACTGCCCTTCTATCCCTCTTTTCTCCCCCCAACCTCCCCATCCCTCCTTCCTTTTGCCTCCAGGCTGGATTGTTCATTTAGGAAGTTTTCTCGCGTCCTAATGCGCGGTGACGCCTATTACATAAGTTAAAGAGGCTTCTTTCATGTCTTCTCCCGCTGTCCCGGCGTTCACCTTTTTCCCGAGCTGGTTCCGCTCTTTTCTCTTTTAAAGAGAGATAATTGATATGCCCTGGATTCACAATGATTCCGGTGTGCGGCCATGTGTCCGTGCATGCTCATTTTGAGGTTTTCTTTGTGAGTGCAAGCTTTTTTTTTATGTGCAGAAATATGAATGCATGTAAGTGCATGTGCAATGATGAACCTTCTCGGGTGAAAACAAGATTAAAGCAAAATGAAAAAGAAATGCATAATCGCTTATTAGCATTTAAGTTATAACATGTCATATGCATCTGCAATTAGTTTGAAAGCAGATTTATCTTTTCTTTCTCAGGGACAATTTAAAAGTTGATTTATAGTGGCTAGCCCCCCAAAAAAGTATTTGCACATTTATAGAAATGTGTGAATGGCTTTGGAATAGGATTGCTCAAGCACACTTTTGTCAGGTTTCGAATGATTAAACAATAGATACACTGTTTGAAATGAAGGCAAAACACATTGTGACAGTGTGGTTGTGAAACTTAGTTAACAATGAACTTCACGTGTGTGAGCTTGAGGGGAACTGACTACATACATTCACTTAAAACCACCTTAAGACTAAAATGGCTCAGAATAAAGTTAGTTTCTCTCGAGATGCATCTTGCTTTGATCTAATGCGATGACATTTGGAAGTGTGATTTTAGCGTCAAAGTGTCCAAATACTTTCTGCAGCCACTGTACGTGATGCGATGTGTGGTCTATTCATTGCCGTGTTTGTCTGTGGATGGATTGTGTGGTTAGTTTCCACAGGAAATGGCAGACAAGCTAAAGTTTCTCAGAAACACACTTGTAAGGGGTGCTTTCTTGTCGCTGACAGAGAATCATGTCCATATCCTGTGTGTGTGTGTGTGTGAGAATGTGAATATACCTGCATGCCGGTCATGATTTGAAACTGTTTTTAAGCTTGAGGTTAAACTGCACAATTTGAAGCTTGAATTCCAGTACGACTATATTATGTAATGTAGGTGACACTTGCGCAAGAAAATGTGATTGCTGCCTGACCATGCAAAAATACTGGTTGTTAGGGTTATTCTGAGTGGTTGCTAGGTCATTGCTTATTGGCACAGGTCAAAAAAGTGTCTTGGATATTCTGGGTTCTGGCTACTTTCCCACCAAAGTAGGCTATATTGTATGTATGTATGTATATATGTATGTACCTGTATTTATTACACGCACTATTACATTGCAAAAGTAATACAATTGTCCTCAACTGCACAATTTAAAGTATTTCCTCAGCAACCATGACTAAATATACAAATGTGTCTAATTTTATGATATAAAAAAAGAATAAAACAATGACTTATTCAAATATTTAAATAAAATTCCACAGAATGAGATAATGAGAATTAGCTATACACAAGTTATTTTCATATGCACATTTTAAAGTCAAAATATTCATATAGTATAATTCTGGTATGGGTAACCTTAACATAAAACAGTCCTATCAATGATTGCATTTTTATGATGAATTTATTTCATGTATAGGTTGTAGAAATATCTTGTGTTTATTGCTGAAATAAGAAAGGGTGGGAAAGTGCAGAAGGAGGGTGGAATAGAAAGGACCATGCAATTATGGAATTTCATCCCTCTTTCTCTCGGAAACTTAATCTTCCCCTGCCTTTGGGTAAAGCCGAAGGCTCATTCAGGCAGGAATGTCAGGACGAGTTTTAGAATGTAGTGAGATTGCTGAGAGAGAGAGAGAGAGAGAGAGAGAGAGAGAGAGAGAGAGAGAGAGAGAGAGAGAGAGAGAGAGAGAGAGAGAGAGAGAGAGAGAGAGAGAGAGAGAGAGAGAGAGAGAGAGAGAGAGAGAGAGAGAGAGCTGCAGAATTTCCCGATGCAAGTTTACAATGGGGGAAGAAAATTCTAACACGTAAGATTTTAGCGCTCAATTTTTTTTTTAATGATTTTACTGCAAATGTCTAATTTTGTCTATCATTTAACAAGAAGGTCCGAAATATATTTAGTCAGACCACACGTACGCATGGAATTCCCAGCGTTGCCACAAGGGGCACTATACCAGACATTAGCATAAATTGTCTTCTTCCACGGTCAGTTTTTCTTTCAGATCAAAAACTCACGTCGAAAAAGTTTGAAGAGAACCTTAGCAGGTTAAAGCCAGACAAACAGTTTACATTTTAGCTTAAAAACACTTAGATTTTGTGCACACTTGATGGTAACTTTAACCAAACCTTCTATCTTGAGAACGCATGCAATGTCTGCAAGTATACTTGCGTAATGTATGTTTTCATGCTAAAGTTCAAATAAAGAACACAATTATTTATTTGTGCACAAAGCCAGCGTTGTTTTTAATCAGAATCAAGTTGCAAAAATCAGAATCAAAATGCATACAGATTGTGACCGTGAAGAAATCGTGCAGCCTCTGACTGTCAGAGAAACAGATAAAAACTTCAGGATGGAACACAGACATGGGCTCTCTTGTTCCCTGCCCCCACCGAGCACCTCATCCTGCTCGCTCTCTCGCTCTCTCTCTTTCTCTCGGCACATTGCTGTTTGATTGCTTAAGCCCGGTGGTCAGACAATGGGCGTATAAAGAATGGGCCGCTTCCTTCCTTCCTGTTGAGTATTCTGCCTTGATGAGCAGACTGAATAGATCTGGGCTTCAGAACGGGGCATGAGCGCCGGGACCCAGCTAAAACCAACAAAGAGACGCTCTGGGGGCTTTTCCAATTGCTCTGCTGCCTACTCTCTCTCTCTCTCTCTCTCTCTCTCTCTCTCTCTCTCTCTCTCTCTCTCTCTCTCTCTCTCTCTCTCTCTCTCTCTCTCTCTCTCTCTCTCTCTCTCTCTCCACAAATGCAATCTCTTTTTTTAATATTCTCTTGCTTAATAGGGGTTTCTCTCTGGAGCTGAAAATGTTGTTTCAGTTCGGATTTTGCAGTGTTTAACAGGATAAATTTGAACAACTTTAAAAAAAAAAATGTTTTTCCTGTTGTCAGTTTTTTTTTTGGTGTTGTCTCTAATCGTGAATGAATTATGTTCCATATCATGCAATGTATTTTGACAGTCTGTTGACTGTAATTATGTATTGCACCCGAAAATAATGTACTCAGCCTCATTGAAACATTGAAAATTATTTATGAATGTGGATTTGAGGTGCATGAAGATTCTTCAGAAGCCCTCCTCAAGATAAGCTAGGTGCTTTTTTTTTCATGGAACATGAGTAAAATGAATAAATGATGACGTGGGTGAACTATTCCTTTAATCAGTATATTTGTCTTGCAAATGATATTAAGACTCATTTTTAAAGTATCTTGAAAATGTGGATTTTTATCTTGTTCTATTAGATGTTTTTATTTCAGTTATTAACCTCAAGTACCTCAAACCCTTAAGTTTGTTTCTTCATTTTCAAACAGTGCCTTTATTGTTTTGCAGAGTTAAATCTCAAACCCAACATTTAGTCCTGTGGTAACCAGTCAGGGCTATCTCTCTTTAGTTGTGTAGCTTGTCCTCATTGACATTGTTAAATTTAGAATGAGGATGGAAGTAATCAATACCCTTTCAAACCATACCAAACATCAATAGACGGGTACATAACGTCTTGAATGAAAAAATGAAATAACTTCCCGTTAGCCTAATCCACTCCTTTTGACGATAACTAGATGTTCCGGCCCAGGCAAGCACTTAATACTAGTGTTAATTTTTGGGACAAAGTAAGTTCCGTTCCGTCTGTTGTCTGTTTATTGAGGTCAACCCTCCCAGCCTTTATCTGACCCATTTCTCTGCTCAATGGAGAAATCTATATTTCTCCATTTCTCTTGAACTTGGCATGGAATTGCAGCTCTTTCAAAAGGGTGTCATTTTTCCCATCTATCCTTCTTTTGTGCTGCCTGCACCCATAACAACACATTTAGCGGCTGCTAAACACTCGCACGCAAAGTAGGAAACATGCGCGTGCGTGCTGGCACACACACACTCTCAAAGTCTGCCCTGTGAGAATACCAAGCAGGTAGTTGAAGAGGCTTAAGAGGCGGTGAAATAACTGAGGGCCATTGAAAAGATGGTGAATACACAAGGGTTCGAATGTGGGGGTAAACTGTTGGCCCATTGTCATTTAAAGTAATGTCTTTAACCCTTTGTGAGGCTTTCTTGAGCAAACCAACCCCCTGTCGCTGCCCTGCCATTCACAGCTTAAAACAATGGGTGGGAGGCAAGCCGGAAAACGACGCACTCGAGCGATCGGGACGGTTTTGTTTCTCCACCTTTTGCCGCGTAAATGGGGAAGGGGGCTCATCCCTAGCGAGGGGTGAAAGCTGGCTGCCTGTCACTCAAACCCTCGGCAAAATAACAAACATGCGCCAACACGCTGAACCGACAGTGCGAATGCCAGTAGTGCATATCATGTCACAGGGAAGAAAATGGGGAAAAGGCAGTCTTTTACTTTGTGACTATACAAGAGGCGGCTACATAAATGCGCGCTAATGCATGCATGCATTGCAAGATCGCAATATATTAATTTAGCCGACTATTCAAATTTTTTAGCATCATTGTCATGACCTTGACATTTTTAAGCTGTTTTGGTTTCAAAGTGGTTCTCAATTGATGGATCGTATCCAACCATATCTAATTGATGGATGGTGGATCCATGGTTCTAACCATATAATCGCGTATAGTTGTTGTTGACCAATCAATCTCTAAGGGATTTTGGTGCAAATTCACGTCACTTTATTTGGAATGTAAAATCTGGGTCCTAAAGTTGAGAAACACTACTTTAAAATCATGTTTAGGTAAAGCAATTTTGCAATGCAAATTGAGTAATCACTGATGTTTTAGAAATCAAAATTCCCTTTCTGGGTTTCTTAATACAAAAAAAAGGTTAAAGATCACACGTTACACAACTGCATGCAACGTAACTTGCAGAGCGGCTACGGAGCAAAAACTTCCTCAAAAGCAGAATTGATAAAGCATCTTGCGTATATATACCATATCAAGGCTTAAAATTCCCACAGGGCAGTTTCCATAACACAAACGAGGATTGGAGGGAGCGTAGCAAACTACGGCTTGCCAACAGAAACAATCTCTGATCCTCCTGATGTCAACTAGTGGTTTGCATACTTCAATGATTAAACCAGTGCCAGATGTTTCCCATGGAAGTAAATGCAGCCAGTATCCGCTGCTGGCAGGGGAGGCTGGAAGTTACCCCTGAAGGTCTGGCCCAAGATCAGGGCTTCTTTGTAAGGAATCTGAGATCAGTTTGTTTGGGTGGTTTTAGAAGACAAACCATTTGGAGTTCCATGTATTGGTGTTAGTTAATTGGCAAATCATAACTCATTTAATCTGTCTTAATTCAGCGTGACTATTTCATAACTAAAGATCTGTTGAGATTCCTGATCACCAGAACAACACAAACTAATACAGTTCTGCACTTTCCAGTCAAGATTATGTCTCAAATGGTCATGGCCACTGTAAGATCATTCATGAAATAACAGTCAACGCCATACAATACTCAATGTTGCATTTATAGTGAGCTATATTAAACTTCATTTGATCTCTTTTGTGCAGGAAGATCTCATCGATAGAATCTCTCAGTAACGCACCTATTTTGCTGATCTGCCAACGTACACTATCGCTTTCATCGCCTTATTTTCAGATGACCTCGAAACTGAAGCTCTGCGAACATCGCGGCTGTCATCATAAACGCAAAGTGAAATGCGACCCTGACAGAAGATCCATCGGGTAAACAAAGGCAATTGAAAACACTGTAGATTGCCTGAAATGGGTCTTTGTACTCAAAGGCTAAAAACAAGGCCAACAACAGGCCAGAAAGAACACAGGAAATGCATTGTTTAATTTCAAAACGTTAATATATTTTCTATTTTATAGTGAACATATGCATCAGATTTGACACCCTTGTCACCCTTTTTTTTTTGCAGCAACAACAGAGGAGGTTTTGTTTCTCAGAGTTGGGGTGATGCCTATAATGATGCCTCTCAAAATAAATATTACTTTATAAAATAATAAAACTTCAAATAAATATTTTTACACTAAACAATGTGTTGAAATTAGAAAATAAAGTTTTTCTTAGGGTCACTGTACAATTTACAAGTATAGTTGTAGGGATAATTCATGTAAGGTTCCTCTTCTATAAGGCAAAATATCAAAAGAGTGATTGACATACATTCGAAACGAATGTACAACACTATACAAGTTTTGTATATGCATCATATATATGGATCTGTCAAGGTGCCTCTGGTTTGGCACAATGTGTTTCACAGTTGAAATATTATATGTACAAAAATAAAATCTCTCAGAAAAAGAGCTCATTTGCTAATTTACATACTTTGCAGATACTATTCACAAACAGTTAGTTAGGAGAGTCTGTCACCTTTATCAGTCATATTACTGAATGTCAATAAGGCTAACATTCTGGACTTCAGTTTAAAATGAAAAGGAAAGGGAAGGTTGTTGAGACAAACGTTATTCCCCCTTAAAGAGTGAGAGAGAGAGAGAGAGAGAGAGAGAGAGAGAGAGAGAGAGAGAGAGAGAGAGAGAGAGAAAGTGGATGAGAAAAAAGCAAACAACAAACAAACAAACAAACAAACATACATACGAACAAGCAAACCACTTCAAACCAGTTTTTGCCAATCCAATGTCACCTCTTGGTCTACAGTGCCAAAACTACAACAATTTGCGAAAATTGTTCCACTGCTATGGAGATAGTCCCAGATAAGGTTATCTTCCCAGGGCTACTCCAGGAAACGAGCCTCGTCAACTCCTTTGTTCTTGCAGCGGCATCCTGGCCGACTGGTGCAGTCGTAGCATGCCTGGCACAATGCCACGCAGCCCTTCGCCGGGAGGTAGCAAAGCAGGCAGGGCAGGAAAATTGCCAGGACGCTTATGGCCGACCACCGCATGCAGCAATGCGACTGGCTGCAAGAGAACGGCTTGTCCGCACACACATCCTCATCATCGCTGGAGCAGTGGTAGAAGAGACCTTTGACGCAGCAGACACAGGTGACATAGTCCATTGTCGTCGTCGCCGAGCAAAGGCACCTGCGCCCACACATCCAACAGGAGGGCAGGGTCCGAGGGCAGGTGCATCCTTTGCACTTGCAGCGGCCGCAGTCCTCGCAGCGATTCAAGTGCTTTCCGTCAGCGGCCTGGCCTCCGGCCGGCACGAAGGGTTTCAGTTCGTCCTGCTTCGGCTCTGGCCGTTTAGGCTGCACTCTCACCACCCGATCGCCCACCCCGCCTGTGTTTCCCAAAAGTCTTTGCTCCGATGAAGTGCTGCCTGTGCTGGCCCTGGCGGTACTGTGCGAGCCATCACTGGGTCCACTGGCGGATCTGCTCAGGTCACTCCTCGGTGACTGAGGGGCTTGTTGAGGAGACTGCTGTCCAGCTCGCTGGGCTCTCGGGGAGTTTCTATGCTCAGAGAGCTCAATGGAGGAGGTGGAATTCAGGCTGGAAGGTTGCGAGTCCACTTTCTGCTGGGAGGCCGGTGGCCGGGGTGTCACCGTCGGGCCCTCCGTGTACTCATTGCTGCTGCGGATGGTCCTGATCTGGTCCAGGGAGAGCACCTGAGCATCCCAAGGCTCCGAGTCCCCAGTTTGGGGTCTGCCACTGTCACGCAAAGCTCGCAGCAAGCCAGAGGAGCCGCTGCCGCCGCCATTTTGAGCTCTCGTGTCCATCTTTACTCTGAAGTGGGAACCCTCCGGCTGGCATTGAACACATCTGAAGTCCTATGGGAAAGGCAGACAGTTAAATGAGAGCATACAGGGAAGTAAAATCCCATAAACTAACCATATGTAAATCATATGAACTAGGCAAAAAGAAAAGGCAGATGGCAAGCTCCTTCATGCAAATCTCCCAACTACACCCCACCTCTACACCCCTGGAAGGCTGGCCATCAATGGGACAGGCCTTTACCACCTGCAGCTATCAAGTTCATATGGAACATCTAGTACACTCAAAACCATCGTTGCTCTACAATGTCTCAGGTGCTGCAATTTACCTGATCAAAAAATAAATAAGGATTTCTTTGCATAGTCTTTGTAGCAGTTTGTCTTCTGCACAAGCATCTTCCACATCTATCCTATAATCAATGAGTGATAGAGAGATTGAGACTATTCTTAAATGTGTTCCTGACAGCCTTTTTCTTAACTTATCTGCACATTTATACAAAATCTCAGAGATTTTTTTCCATGCCGTGATCGCCTTTGGCTTGCTTGTGGGGAATTGTAAGGCACTATGTATACTGTGAAAAGTGCTATACAAATAACTTAACTGAATAATTATTCTTTTGCGCCGATTTTAATTTAAATCACTGTTCGTTTCTTGCAGAGGAGATTAGAAATTGTTCGTAAAAGGTATTATAGGGGGGAAAAAGCACACCAACTTCCCTTTGCTTTGTAATTATTTTAATCACAAGGAACCAAAATCATAAACAAGTGCACTTTAAAGACACTGCAAAAGCAAGTTTTATACAACTTACAGTGGTAGGTATAAATGTTGGCCTTGTACTTGGATAATGTGGTGATAGTGTTTAGTTGAATATAAAAGTTTGCAATGGCCCAAATTCGTTTTCATATTGTTATTGGAAAAGTAAAAATGAGAATATTATTAATTTCGAATCACCAATTTTAATATCTAGTAGTTGACTGAACAGGAGCAATAACGTGACGTCCACAAATGCATTATGACGCTGTCAATGGGGGGGCGGAGCTCTTGACCAAATAACTTAGAGAAAAATAAAATATCCACATGTTGAGGTGAAAAAAAAAAAATCATACATCTCAGTCGGGACCCTCAGCACCAGTTGAGTTCAATCTAAATAACACTACCCCAAATTACCACATCAATGCACAATCTCCCTTTCCACAGAGAGGCCCCATCAGCAAAATGTCTGTTAAACATCTGTTTATCTCCTCAATGCTATTTAAACTTCTGATCTGGTTTATCAAGCATGCATACTAACTTTATAACGATACTAACTTGGTTGGACCTTGCATTGAGTAGAGAAACTTTTTTTCTTTGAAAAAGTTATTAAAACGTTTAGTGGACCTTCACGCGACTTTTATTAATTCATTTAATTATTTATTACTTATACATAGAAGTCTATAACGGTAGATGTAATTTATCAACGTCTATTCTCAACTTTAAATGAGGCAAAGTGAATGTGTAAAGTTTTTATTATAATGCTTAGTGGGTCTTTGTATGGGATGAAATAAACGTGCAGCTGTAGGTGACGTTTTTCAAAAGCGATTCGCAACTTTAACTAAATGAAAAGTAAGTCAAAGTTTTTTTTTACGCAGGGAACAGAGCCGTATGGCAACTATTTGCACAGCTGCAAGAATGGCGCGGAGCATGAGCACTGGAAAAAGTCACGAACTATAATAGAAATGGGCGACTAAATAAACCACACGCAAATAAATTCAACAAAACTAAAATCGTGTCAAAATCCACTGCAAAAAGTTGATCCAGGTCACTTACCGTGATCTCACCACCTCAACCCCCTATTTGTGTTGTGAAGAGTATATCCTACTAGTAGGAATTTCTCTTTGGTTATTCCTCAGTTCATTGGGAGATTCATTCACAAAAATCCAGATGAACGCAAACACTTGCGCGTCCTCGTATTCGCGTATTTTTTTTCGCGCAACTCGCGCGAAACAATAACGTCAGAATTTTATTCCAAGTAGAACGTAATGTAGTTTAACTTGTGCTGTTAAACCGCGAATTATGCCAAAAAGAAAATAAGTTCCAGAATCCAACAAAATGAGCAGAGTTTATAGAAAAATAAGAATGAAAACGCTGAAGACTTTTTCAAGAAGAAGCGTTGCGGTTCCCAAGTTGAATGTTTGGCTGCATGGCACACACTGTGCTGCTTTCAAGTTTTTCAGCTCTTGTTTTTTTCTTCTTTCCGGAGAGGAGGTCGGGTTTATGCTGTAAATGGCGTCATGTGGAAGTGAAGGGGGTGAACAGAGTAGCTGTTGTCCCAGAGGATATATCGTATCCGGTCCCAGCTCATTGGCTCTACAGGACTCAACATTCACTCCCTGTGTGTGTGTGTGTGTGTCAGAACATTACGGACGTCCGATTAATTTTAGCGACTCGGTTGACTCGAACGCTTTAGTTTAATCAAACAATTCAAAGAGCCGACACACCAATTCCATTGAGTTATTCTTCAAAGATGTTCCTACGTGTTATTGTAACATGTAAGTGAACTTTGTACAGTAAAATAGCTTTTTTACGCCACATTTTAGATGTAGATGTAGCTACATTTAGTCGTAGACTGTGCCTACTGTTGTATTGTTTATGCAAATGATCAATGACTTTCGGGTGAGGAGGTTTGGGTTGACTTTTTAAAATAAGTTTCTGTCAGGTTCGTTTCATGAAATCAAAATTCTAGTTACACTGAGCTAAACGTCAACTGTATTAAAAAGGGTTTAAACAAATACATATGACATAAATTAAAGTGATAATGACAACAGTAGCCTGTTACTGCTTCAGTCAAACCTCTGCACTTGAAACACTTTTAATAAATTTTCGTGGTCACTAAAAAAAATATAAAACTGTTGAATCACATAAACAGTTTATGTAATGATAATCATAATAATAATATATTATAAGCATCAATAATAATAATAATATGAGGGGTATATATTTAGGGGGGTAAGCGTTACCTCTATTTATTGTCCCATGTCCCAACAACAGTAGTCTTTTAAGTAATATTGTTCCAAATAATGTTAATTAATATTGTTTATATTAATTGTTTTCGACATTAGCTCCCATTCCACAATTTTCCTCCTAAACAAAATCATCCCTTACAGAGAGAGTTCTAATCGGTTCAAAATAATTATTCAAATTAATATATTAAATATAAAGATTAATTTGTGAATCAGCTACCGCTACAGCTGTAGAACACTGCCTCAATCTCTCACGGCCTGAACATTTGCACAGGAGAAATGATCTGTTGCTCAACCACTGTTATACTATGCACACGTATGTTTATAACTTTAACACTTTCTTCTCTTTTTGAAGACTTTTAAAGGAACATTTTCAAGTGAAGCTTAATGTGTTGCAATGGGTTCAACTTTTCCTGTTCAAAACATATAACAGTCTAATTTTCTGCAGTGGTTCACTAGTCACCATGCAGGAGATTCACAGTTTTTAGGCTTGTATTCTCTTACCTTTAAGCAACATTTCAGAGTGCACATGCTTAGCTTGATTCTAAGTTACACAAAATGTGTTAAACTAAAATCTAAATAACCAAATGGTAGCACACTAGCACTATTTTAATGGTCCCCTTTAGACAATCTGTTGACAATAATAACATTGCACCTACATGTCAACTAACTCTCATTAGAGTATTAGTAAAGTATTAATAGACCGTCTGTTTAATATCTGCTAACACTTTATTTTGATGGTTTTCCAACAGACAATTTACTGACTTTGCAAATACATGTTGTATAATAAATTGAACTCAATAGTAAAACATGTCTTTGGGTCTATTACTGCTCTCTAGTGGCATGAGACACAAAGAACAGCTGGCCTGTTTACATTTAGTGTTTGTTCAGACAATTATCACCAGAATTGCACATAATCAACAATAGCAGCATTATAGTAAATAGAAAAGCATATGCAAATTGCCCTTATGTCAGGCTAGAAACTACAATGAAATATTATTTCGTTATTAAATATAACGTAAATACAGTCTGAACAACATAAAGAAAAAGAAAACACAATGTCTGATCCACAGTTAAGTCCGATCTAGTAATGGTAGTGGATAAAAGACACCAATACAACAAGTTTACTTAGCATGGAAATAGCTTCCATACAAAGACACTTTATCATGTATGGACCATTGTGGGCTAATAGGAAGTACTCCCACAGGAGAATGTAGGCTTCTTCAAGTACCCCCCTTGACACATTGTCTGTCTGTCTCTCTAGCAACTCTTCTTTTAACAGGCTGCAAAGCAATAACAGGCAAGGCTGCCTCTGTGTTATCAGAAGGAGGGGGCGAACAAATGCACCTCGAGGTGGCCTCGAATGAACATGGAGAGTCAAAGAGGAAACGAGCAGAGAGTGAGCGAGTTCCCAAACCCATGAGACTCCACCATCTCCAGCTGAGCGGCCCCTATTGTTCGGGGCCTCCTTTTCACCAGCCAAAGGTGAAAAGGTAACTGACAGGGGGCTTTGTGCCTGGTCATGGGGACTCCCATTGCCCAAGAACGCCCAGATTCCCTTGGTCACACATTGTCAATGGGGTCCATGAGGAAATGGGAGAAGGGGGTTGGACGAGGATCCAGGGGAAAAGTCTTTTAGAATTAGACACATAACGAATAGTAGGGTGAATCACATGGAAACTGTCAAGAAATGTCGGGGTCAAATATGAAATGATTTAATGATTTAAAAGCAACTTGCTTCAATTGTCATTACCATAACACAAGAAAATATCTCATTCTCATTACCGTAAAGCAAACTGTATTAATTATGTATTTAAATTATAAAGTTGCATTTGAAAAGTACAATCAACCTATAAAACACTGTATTTTTTGTTGTAAGCAATTTTGAAAAAATAAATAATCTCAGTCATGACAATTTTGGGTGAAAATTTGCTTAACTGTCAGGAAAATATTGTTACAGTAAAACAAGTCTTAATGGTTCTGAAAAAGCTTTTTTTAAATATTATTATTACATTATTCCTTATTTTTATCTTCTGATTTTGGAGTGAAAAAGAACCCTTGTGCAAATTACTCAATAATATGAAACAAAACAAAGCATCAATGCAAAAATCTTTATAAAAAATACAACCAAAATAATACTTTTGCCTAACTAAGTCTTCTGGCATTATTTCCAAGTTTACCTCTTCAAGGAACAGCTGTCTTTCTCTTTCTTAGACCGCCTAATCGCCTCCATCCAATGCACCTCGAACAAAAGCTTAAACACGTCTGTAAAGATAAAGAGGAAGCAATGGACAAAATGCATTCAGACGGTTTAGCTTTGAGCTAAGCTCAATGTGACATGAATTTGTGGGCTTAATAAAGTTGCTTGACGTTTTCCTTTCCTGGTGTCGTTTCTTTTTCCTCTTGTTCTGTGAGATAAGCTCCGCTGTCACCTCAGGCTTTAACGTGGTCCAAGACAATTTTGTTGGAAGCGACGCGAAAATAGAAATAGAGATTGAAGTTTCAATTATGACCTGTCATTTATTGTAATGTTTTTTTTTTTTTGTAGTAATACAGAAAGTCTTAGACTTCATCACAGCATGTCATTTCATTTATTCCTCAAGGCATTTTTCTTTAGAAAATGTAGTTTATTTTATGATCCACTTTTGGATAGCGATGTTAAACCAATCTCCTCTTCGCAGTTGTTCTATATTTTACCAACCCCTGTTATTTCCACTGACTTGCTCAATGTTGCTAGAAACAAAACCAAAAACCACAGAGTGTCAGTCTGTGCTCAGAAACACATGTTACTCACAGTCGGTAACATCTCCAACATATTTGACAGATAGTCACGGGAATGTCTGAGTGGATGTTGTATAAGTAGCCTTCAATTATACGCGTTTGTAAGGAAGCGAAACCGTAAATCCGTTTGCTTGTGTGTTGGAGTGAACCACAAGGGCCGAGAATGGGTGTTAAAAAAAGAAAAAAACATGAAGAACGAGCGCAAGGATGCACATGCGAACATGGAGCCAAGTAATAATGACCCCTGGTGAGCTCTAGGCATCGGAAGGAAACACAGAGCGCCCTGTAATTAGGCATTTTATAATGTGCACCAAATTCTTTGATAATGCAACAAGGGGACGGTGGAGGGGGGCCATTTCAAAACCACAACAGTTGACTCTGGAGCCAGTTAGGCCAATTAAAGCAGGTTATGCACAGTCATTATGCTAGGTCGGACAGATCTCATAGGAAGTTTAGGCCTCATATAAAGAAAAAAAAAGTATCTTGGAGCCCGGGGGCCAAGCTGTATGGGCTTCGCCTGGCATCGTTTAGCAGTTCTCGCACTTCCACCAAGGATGAATGCCAGATTCGAAGTAATGAAATCTTTGCCCTTAATTTGCTTGTGAATAGCATTGGCGATACTCTGGTTTTTGCTTTGATAGCAGGGTCACTAACTTCTTTGAATGAAGTCTGAATGCCAAATCTGGAAAGATAATTAGGAAAGACAATCAACTGCAGAACGGATTTAATAACCTCATCAGCTTTGCAAAAATGTTTCATCATTTCAGTTGTAGAATAGACATAAGGTTGTTTCAGCACCGTGTGACATATTTTGTGAGAAAAACTACCTTGGGTAATACCTTTGTATATTAGTATTGCACATACTTAAAGCAAGCAACCATCTAGAAATCAGCCAAAACACCCTGGCAGCCAAATAAAAATTCCCTAGTAACCACCCAGAATGTCCAAGCAACACAATAAATCTCATAAACAGTACAAAAAAATGGTAAAATAAAACCACCCATTAAACCCTAGTAACGTCATATATCTGCATAGCAACCATCTTGCAATGTAGTGAAGCACTTGAAACACCTTTGTAACAGCATAGCAACACCCTAGCAACCACATAGCAACACACTCAGAACACTTAACCACCTAGAAATGCAGTGAATCCCATGTAGCACGTTTGTAACAGCATAGCACCAACCTAGCAACCACAAAGTAACAGTCGAAATACTCAGAATAATTAGGAACTGCATAGCAACCACAGAGCAACACATTCACACAACTCAGATTACTTAGGAACTGCATAGCAACCACCTAACAATGTAGTAAAGAACTTGAAACACCTTTGTAACAGCATAGCAACACTCTAGCAACCACATAGCAACTCATTCAAAACAGACAGAATACTAAGGAAGTGCATAGTAACCACCAGTGAAGCACTCTGAATACCTTTGTAACAGCATAACAACACCCTAGCAACCACATAGCAACACCTAGAACACGTAGGAAGTGCATAGCAACCACCAGTGA